AATTGGAATTGTTGTTGTTGTTGTTGTTGTTGTTGTTGGTTGTTGGTGGTGGTTGGTGGTTGTTGTTGTTGTTGTTGTTGTTGTTGTTGTTGTTGTTGTTGTTGTTGTTGTTGTTGTTGTTTGTAGTCGTCGTTGTCGTAGTACTATTAGCTGTGGTGTTGGTGGTAGTAGTAGTAGTAGTAGTAGTAGCAGTAGTAGCAGTAGTAGTAGTAGTAGTAGTAGCAGCAGTAGTAGTAGTGGTAGTACAGTAGTAGTAGTAGCAGCAACAGTAGCGGCAACAGCACGAGGCATGTCCATGTGTTTCTTTCAATGTGGCAGCATGCAGGTTTTGGTGTGGGCTGTCGGGCATCCCGAGGTCGAGCTTTTCGAGTACATGATTATGACCGAGAAGACCAATTCTGAAGGGTCTGAGGGATCACAATCCGAAGATTCTGACGAGCCATAAACTAAAAACCTGGCTTCTGGTTCAGAGTATTGGCTTCGGGGTCGGAATGTGCCGCAAATTTGGCCACCAGCTGGCGAAGGCGCATGGACAACGTCTTTGTTTTGAATGGGTCTCTGGCTTTGGGCATTCCATGCCAGTTTTGTCGCAGAGTTTTGTCGACTGAAACCTTAAGGGGCAACCCAGGTTTGGGCACAAGTTTCCAACGACCTGGAGAGTGGTGTTGACGTATTACCAGTATATATGTCGCATCCGTTAAGTCTAGAGCGATCTTAGGGGTTTAGGTGATCAGAACTTGCGTCGTATGAGACGTGGCAGGAAGATTGCATGCTTCATGCTCGTCGCCACAATGCCTGGCCAATAAAAAGCCTTGTTGAGGTGGCTGTCATGGCAGGATGCTAGCAACTGAAATGCGTATGCAACTGAGTTGTCACAGTGGTGCCGGTTTCTTGTTGGTGGCGTCCTGTCTGCATTTCTTCAACTAGGTCTGCGATGGCGAGGCCGCAACTGGATGAAAAAACTCATGCAATGATGCATAGGGTCTCACGACGAGCCATCAGCAATCAGCTGCTCATCGATATCAGCAGCATCAGCGTGGTTTAGGTATGTTTACGTCAAGAAAATCTCGAAAAGCTAGGTAGTTGCACACAGGTAGCAAATGGCAGGGATGATGATTTTCAGAGACTAGAAACAAACTGACAAGCAGACCCGACGTTCCGTGTGTGCATTCAGCGAAGACCGCTAGGATTCAATTTCCGTTCGTTCCTGAGGCAAGCCATCATGATTTCAGAATTGAGGGTTAGGCGTTAGGCAAGCTGTCCAGCAATCATGCTTCGGGCATCTTCGGGGTGTTCAGGGTTGCCTGTGACATCCTCCTGCGTTGGAGAACCAGGCGTGCTACCCCACTCACCGCGCGACGCAAGCGAGCGGTGTGCGTCTGTCTTTGCTTGCGGAGGCAAGCCCAACGTCAAGACAATGGTTCTAATGGAGCCACTAGCTCACTAGGTAATACTGAGCATTGCTCAAGCCAGCTAGTCGACATGCCGTCTACAAACCAAGTCTAATGCTGGAAGAAAGTGTAGCCGTCCCACCCGAGCGGGCAGCGAGCTTCACGCCTCTCGCTAGCCAATGTGTATTGCTTGCTACTTTCTAGAGCCACTACAAGTTTGAGGGGGCCAATCCAGCGGTTCGAAACCAGTCGCTGGGTCCTCTTAGATGCGTTTTTCGCACACTCATCCCGTGACGATTGCACCATACAGACGCCTCCAAGCATGCCTGCTTCGAGAGGCAGCACTGGGCTATGTCGTTTCAGAAGTATAAGTGTTTGCGTCGCTTGAGCTTCATTGGCAACGAGTCGAGTTAGAGGATTCCGGCTCATATCGCAGGGGTACAGATCAAATCCAATCACAGTTAAGCGCCCGAGTGTTAAACTGCCTGTGCTAGCACTCAAACACCGAAACTGTAGACTCTTCCGCATTGTCGCCGCTGAAAGCAGGCACGACGGATCTCGGAGCAGATGCAGCAGGATCGGCGCATTGTAGACTTCTTTATGCAGTGGTGTTAGGGTTGCAGACTGTGCAATTTCCCAGGCTACTTTCATCCTCGGTTGCAGACTTTGCACTGGCCATTCCTCTCAGATTCCCACACTGCACGTGGTGGCTGTTCACCGTCTACCCCCAGCAGTTTTTGGCCGTATCATACGTCAGGACGACCACCAACAAGCGATTTTGCACGTGCGTGATCTTTACACTGGCGCAGTGTGCTCTAACATAATTCCCGAACCTTCTTATCTTGCCTGCTTGAAAGGCATGAGTAGCTTGAAGTAGCCCGACGGTTCTGTGTTACAAAACGCGCCCTGGTCCTGTCTGCGACGCTCAGCTGCCATGGAGCTCGCCCCACCCACGACTGCGGCCGCATCGTCAGCGTGTCCTTCTCGGTCACCACGTCGGTCCCTGCAGACACGAAGTGGGCCTGGACATTACAGATGTGCTGCAGGCACCAGCAGCAGGGGTTGTGAGGCGATTTATCTTGGGGGCCGGATTGCCAGTGGTCCTCCATCCGATCCTGAGCTCATGCGAAACAAGCGAGATTTTACAACCAGCAGGCTGCAATCGTGAATGTACACATGAAGACTCCGTCGGTTTCTGCGTATCGGGAGCGATCGTCGCAGCACCGTGTTTTTCAGCATCTTGCAGCTGCTAGTGGTTCAGGCAGGCTAGACTGCTAGACGCAAACAGGTTCTGCAGGTCAGTAGAGCATCGCAGCTCCGTTTTGATGCCTAAGTACCGCCACAGACTCACACTGTGAAGACCTTACTGCACATTGGGAATCAGGCTCGGTTGCGCGTGTTTCATGTCACCCGAGCTTTTGGGACGACTTTCAGTAAATGGAGCCGCTGTCTGCTCACCCGATGGCAGAAGCAGCCGGCGTCGAGGCTGAGTGGGATACAACTCCTTCGTCGCCACAGACACCGGTCATGAGACATTTTCAATACGTTCCGAGGCTGGCGCCTTAAGTCTACGATTTTCCAAGTCCGTTGATGAGTGCAAAGGTTCAGTATCCTACGCAGCTTCTCCAAACATTTCAATTCTTGCCAGTCCTAGTGACTCGTGCTCTGCATCTGCAGCACTGAGTTTCAACTGCAAGCCTGAAGCCTCCCACCTGGACTCCCTGGAAGGCGACATCGGAAGTCCTTCGCCTGGCGGCCACAGTTTTTCAGGACTCAGAGCATCCCATGGCGCACGCGGAGGAGCGAATGTCGGCACGTGCTGCTGTTGCTACTACTGGCGATGCTTTCGATGACCTGATTCAAAGAGGTCTGCTTAACCACCAGCTTGGACTTTCCGAATCTCATACACAGAGCATGTTATTTACTACCTACGTACCTGATACATGCATACACAAATACGTACATGCATGCTGCATACATGCATACATACGGACATTCAGACAAGCAGCATGCATGCACACGTACATTTACACCATGTACATACACATATGCACATATGTACACGTAAATGATGTATACACATACACGCGGGTATTTACATATACATGTTTATATATATATATATACATACACATTCTGTCAAACGTACATACATACATAACTTACTTACATGCATCACATGTCTGTCTGATTGAATGGTTTTGTGTCTGGGTGTCTGTCTGTCTGTATGCATGTATGTAAGCATGTACGCATGTATTTACGTACATGTTTGTACATATATGTACGTATATATATATATATATACAAATACACATGCATATAAGGATAGCCCCGCCCCGCCCACCATGACAGACCACCCCATTCAAGACATTGCCCCCACTGGCGATTCCGGCCTTCTGCATGGGTTCGGGATTCAAGCCCTGCTTTCGTCTGGCTTCAACCACTCGACCGAAGACGAACAAAAATAGTAACACCAAAGATCCGCAGAAAATGCCAGAAGTGATTTCACTTTTTTGTGTTTTTGCTAGTGTGCTTTCGTATTGCTTCAACCCCCAGCCTGACACCCAAAACCGAAGATCCTGAGAGCATGCAGGAACTGTTGTGTTATTTTTGTTTTTTCGCTGTTGGTATACCAAAGCCCTAAACTGTAGGCTACATGCCTACTGTAGCCGCAACTACTAGGCCTCATGCATGAGTAACACCTGCAACAGATCTCTCAGAAGTATCAGTCAACCATGTGGTTTGAATAGACCATATCGATCGGACAGTTTGATTCTCAGCCTTTTCCAAGCCGAGTGCATATTCAGGTAAGTAGTGGCTATGTTGAGTTAGCGTTTGCTAACGCACACGCAGATGCACGTGTATTCAGCTTCCACCTACTTATGCAGTACATGTTTTGCAGTTTGTTTCCATTGAATAATGGTTCGTCACTTCATACAGCCAAATATGCATATGCAACAAGGCGTATTGCCAGATAAGTGTCGGTAGAATTGTACGTAATCTTAATACCACTACACTAGTCTTCAGGTGTTTCTGTCAAATCAACACAAGCGTCTCAGCAATAGCAGCAGTTCGTGACCCCTTATTATCATTGTAGGTAGTGGCCGTCATACCCCTGCAAGCGTATCCAATCTCCGCTTCCATTCTCAGTCATATGTAAGCCGCTAGTACGGTCTTTTCATGCGTAGCTCATCGAATCAAGTGTAGTTAGTGTAGTTTTACTATGACAGCAACCAATGTTGTAGTTACAATTTCCATTGCCACTATCCCGCTTGCTGGGGTCATAGTTATTTAGTTGCCGTTCTGCTTACTTCAGTAAAACTAATTAGCCCATTGAACACTCGTACCTCCCGTTTTGTTATTATTTCTTAATTGCAATTGCTGCGTAGAGTACTCCTGTGATGAGCTCAGGGTATAGAGCCCGTGCATAGGTCGAACAAACTCGTAACAGAACCACAGGCTCGATATATAAGTTGGAATGTTCCGCCCAATTTATCGTACCCTTAACCTTCTTTTAATCTGACCACGTCTATATATTTCCAGCGATGGTCTGTCGCCCGGGGGCGCTGAGCACACATTGATATATCACATGTATGTGCGTATGCATGTATGTATGTGTTTATGTATGTATATGTATGGCACAGAACTTTAAGTGGCCCATTTCATGCATCTGATTTTCTATGTCATTGCTCTGACTAACGAAGTATATTAGCTAAATGGACTAGTCAAAGATCATGGGGTTGAACAGACCCATAAAGTCCTCCATCACAAGACGTTGGCTGATGGAGTTTGTAACTTTTTGTAGCATGCCGGGCCAGTACCGGGGCCAGAATTGGTGATACAAACCCCCGCACCTGTAAACAGCAATAACTACTGGCTTTAGGACGACAAGAGGATGTAAATACAGTCACGAATACCTGGCTGCTTACGAGCAGATGCGACAGGAGTGGGATCGTCGCCTACAGGAAGGGCGCGGTGTCCACTTTGTAGTCCGGCAGGCTGTCTGGGGGCACTCCCGAGAATGGACATCAACTGTTGAAGCCAACGCAGCAACATCTTGGGTACAACCAAATCCCTCACAAAAGATTCCGCAGATTCCTGTTGTACACCCCGGTCAGTTCCTGTGGTCCACAACCCTTCAAAGACCCCCCAATTGTAAGGAACGCAAGACAGCCCGAAAGTCTCGCGGGTGATTTCTCAACCCAATGTGTAAATGAAACATGCCGAGAGTTGGTTGTGTTGAGATTTTGAGTGTGGAGTTTGTTGGGCTGGATTTCGAGATTTCGTGACCTGGGATACTTCTGTTTGTAGCTGCCTTGCGTGGTTTGGAGCGCTTGGCATCCTCGCGAAAGCACCTACTTCACGCACGTCGGGCTTCGCAGGAAGGACAGCTGGTCAGCTTCCTCACTGCATACCAAAGCAACAACATCCGGAGAACTCGTGCCACAGACGACGCAGACAGCAATTGCTTTCATGCACCTCGGATTTCCAAGATTGCTGCGGACAGTTGTCGTTGAGTAGTCTCAGGACCAGCCTAGTGTCGAGTTGGAATAAGCGCCTAGCTAGACATTTGTGTGCAAAAGTCTGTCAATGCTTCCGCGAGCAAACACCATCGAACTATGATTCTCTTGCAGCTGCCTTCAAGGACGATAGGTGCAAGCACTAGCTGTGTCCTTCTTGCCCAAAGCAAGGTCTGGATGGCTGGGACCCACCCAGACTTCCGGGGACGAGGCATGGCCATAGACGGCATGTGTACAGTCCACCATGTTGACGGTGAGTATGAGAAGGATTTTGGACCTATCACCCGAGTCCAACTGAGATTGTCCCGATGCCGCATCATTATCACCATAACGAGTAGTGTGCCCTGTGGAGTTGTTGTACCTGAGCTCCTCTTGCGAAAGATGCTTGCTTATGCCATGTATTCGAAAGTACTGTTGTGCCCATCCTAACTGGGTCAGGGCACCCGGTAGGCCATTCCCGCACGCAGGCTCTTCAACTTGAAGTCGACAACCCTAAACTCTTCAGCCTAGGTGATTTTCGATTTCCGGGTCCGAGGTTCTATGACAGCTCTATTCCATGCCGCGGAGAAGACCGCGACAAGCCGCGGCTTGAGGTAGGTGGGGGGGGAGTGTGTGGTACCTGCAGTTACAAGTACTCTCAATAAAGTCTGACAGGGCTGTCTATCTATTTTCTGCGAAACTGACCTCCCAGTCACAGTCGCCTACTATCAAGAGTGGCTTCACGGAGACTCGACGTTGACGTTCAGGCAGCCCGTAGGAAGACAGACATGTTTGGCATTTCGCCCAAGCACAGTTGACGGTGGGTTCTGCGTTTAGGCTCGGCACGTCATTGGCAACGAAGGGGTTTGTGTGGGAATTGCGAAGGTGAAAGTGAAGGCTGGTTTGTGCTAAACCACCTCCTGCTCTTCTGCTTCGTCAGTTTTGAGGGGGTTGCAGTACTTGCTTATGAGGTTTACACTTCCTGTTATAATAGGGCTGTGCACGAGCATGTGCATTTCGTCAACTTTGGATGTGCATTGGCTGAGCCTGCGTTGTTCACCTAGCGACGTTTCCATGGAGGTACATGACGCTGAACACCTATCCGACGAGGTGGGGGAATAGAAGACAAAGTTTCCGATGGTGGGGTGTCCGGGTGTCCGGCATCACGCTACTAACTCTTGTCACTAGTCTAAACTAGACAGCTTGGAAAGTCGGCGCAGGTTCCCGGACATGTTCAAGCTCGCCACTGCCCAGTGGGAGATGCATGAAGATACAATGGGGGGTCGGGACATGAAGGACAAGGATGTTGGGAAGGTCTCGCTGATCAAGCTCCTCAATTGACGCTGGCACGGGCGTGCCAGCTGCAGCACCAAGTGCCCTGTGCCGTCCGACTTCTTGCAGGTCGAGACACCCAAGATTACAGGCGAGAGTCTGCGGGAGAGTCGCTTGCGCTTTGCCCTGCCAACACAGCACAAGCAATGGCATGGGCCATGAAAGACCAGCATCAAGATGGAGGTCTGGCAGCAACAACATGGGAGAGGTGACTATGTGCCCGTTCAGCTTCTACGTAGCTTAGTTTTTGTTTGGCCTGAGGTGAAACCTCAGCCATCGCAAATTGGACGGGTTTCAAGTTTCAATCGCAGCATTGGCCACGTCAAGCAGCAAACTGAAGCGACGGTCGTCCTCCTGACACAGTTGCTGTCAGGTGCCATTGCGCTCCCATTGGCAGCGCTTGCACTTGTTGCCAGACGACCGAGGCCGTACGGCCTAAAGACTAAAGACCGGGCTTCAAGATTTTTATGTGCTGCTTCGGACTGTCGGCCGCAGGAGTTTTACTTCGCGAAGTGGATCTTGAGACTCAGAGCTTGGGAGGCTTACCACAGCATACTTTGCATTCGGGAGCCCTATCTACCGTATATCTGTATGATCGTATATGGGAGTGTTGCCGACTCTGCTTGGCACTTGTCGAGAGCAGCAGCGGCAGGTAAGTGCTAAAGCATGGAATGTGTGCTGAATGTGAACTAAGTGTGGGTTTGGTTGGCGGTCTTGACAGTTTGGCAGGTCTGCTCATGCTCGAAGAGGCGTAGGCTGCCGTGATGGCGCAGAAAAGGCAACAAGGACTGGAGAGTCAAGTGTGTTCAATCGGGTTGTATGTGTATGGGGCGTTAAGCTTTCTAGGGTTTCCACCTAGGACAGAAACGTCTGGCGATCACTCCTTGTGCAGGCGCGCATCCTGATGCATGTGAGATCTCGGGCGGTCACGTGTTGCGGCAGGAAGAGGTCAAGGAAGCCTTAAGTTCAGCCTGCAGGACTCCGATTCTGGTCCCCTTCCAGACCGTGGCATCCTTATCTTGTCAAATCTCGGGTGCAGGTATGTGCTACAAGCCCCGAGAATTGACTTCGGAGTTTGGACTGATGGTAGCCACAGGATGTAACAGGCGGAGCTGGGTTTTTGCACTACTGTTTGGGGAAAGGGGGCGGGAGATAAGAGGAATATTGTATTGGGAGTTGTGTCAGTATGCGTAAGAGAGTTGGTGTTAGCATGAGGACTATGTTTGTGTACTTGTATGCCTAGTACTAGTGGTTTTATTTTTTGAGCTCTGATGCGACTAGTAGCACATGAGTTCATTATCGTTTTTTTGTTGTCTTCAGTATGACTGTTATTGCCGGTAGTAGCGCTGCAGTAGTAGCAGCAGCAGCAAGAGCAGGAGCAGCAGCAGTAGCAGCAGCAGGAGCAGCAGGAGCAGCAGGAGCAACAGTAGCAGCAGTAGCAGTAGCAGTAGCAGTAGCAGTCGTAATGGCAGTGGCGCTCGGGGTAGTGGTAGTGGTGGTGGTGGTGGCGGTGGTGGTGGTGGTGGTGGTGGTGGTAGTAGTGGAGTGGTGGTGGCGGTGGTAGTGGTAGTAGTAGTAGTAGTAGTAGTAGTAGTAGTGGTAGTGGTAGTAGTAGTAGTAGTAGTAGTAGTAGTAGTAGTAGCAGCAATAGAAGAATCAATAGTAATAATAGTAATGACAGTCATAATAAGAATAGCAATGGTGCCCCTCCCCATTCTTCCCGACCTCACAGACACGCCGTTGTGGGGGGAGGGGGATGCAAGAAAGAAATTCTAGCCTGCACTCTGGCCCCCCTCCTTCGGCGTTTCTGCTCGGATTGCCCCGTCACCAACCGAAGCTTCAATTCTTCGGTTTAGGGTTTAGGGCTGTTGCACAATAGAGCGGCTCAAGAGACCTTGTATTGAGTATAGTCTTATGGAATTACGAAAAAAAGCCCTAAACCCTAAACGTATAACTGGTGCTTGCGCCTGGCTACTGTAGATCAAGGCCGGTAGATCAAGGCCCCTCCCCAGGTGCAGGTTTAGAGCACCCCAAAAAGGATCTTGTTGGAAGAGTCGAACCTCACTGCAAAACCCTAAACCCTAAACCCTGAACCCTAAACCCTAAACCCTAAACCATACAAAGCTCTTGCTTGGAGAGGCAGAGCATACGGAGCCCCTAAGCCCTAAACCTTAACTCCAAAGCCCTGGGTTCGGTTTTGGTGGTATGGGCCTCTGATGTAGGGGCCTTAATAATTAGAGTAGGGTTTGGGGTATATTCTGCGATAATTATAATGAGGAACTCCCAAAAC